TGTGTGTGTGGGAACGGCACGCTCGCTTGCGCATGCGTGTATGTGCTCGTCGTGAAGCACTGTGATGTATACTCATCCTAGTATTCATCACAATGTCGTTCACACACACACACACACACACACACACACACACAATCCACAGGTGCTCGTTGGGAGAGCCGTTGCCGCCGTATTTGCAGCAGGATTTGCTGACTTTGTTTACATTTGTGCAGACTGTTCGTCAACATCGACACACCCAACCAGAAGAGGAGGAGCAGTCCTCCCTCGCGTGAACCTTGCCTCTGACTTTGCGCGCCGTGGTGTACAGGACACATCTTTTCTTCATGCGTTTGTTAAGCAAGAAACCGAAGAAGATTAGCCAGTTACCACGTGTTAGACACTCGCAGTTGTGCTTTGCTGCCTTTTTGTTCAGTTGTAGTTTCGTTCGAGTTGACAGCGCCTTGTGTGACACGTGCTGCCGTGTACATTGTTTTCGCTGTGGTTTACATTGGGCGAGTTTTGAAACTCGCAATTGTTCAGTACACAAGCAGGCTCCTCGTTGGCTGGGTGGATAGAAAGCGCGTTGCTTTTGCGTCGTTTCATCGCGTGTCAATCGCCGCGAGGCGGAATGACACCAGACAGACAGAGACAGACAGAGACAGAGAGAGTAACAGAAGGAAATCCGCAAGTTGGAGGGAGTGGCAGAGCCGTGCACACACACACACACACACACACACACACACACACACACACACACACACACGCACGCACACATCACGTCTGGAAACCGCAGGCTCATCAACGGCGCTCAACGACAACAGGCAAAGCAAGTGGTGACAACAAGGATACAGGCAATGGAAATGACACGGGGGTCGAGCAAAACCAAGCAGCAGACAAGAATCAAGCACCGGCGTGTATTGCCGCAAAGCACGTGGCACACGCGGCTTGCAGGAGCGCGCACATGCGTGTGGGTATGTGCACACTCTAGTTGATGACTTTGGCGCCAATGTTGCGGCAAGCATCACGGACTTTCTTGGATGTGTCAATACCCCAGAAGGTGAGCTGGCTCTCGTATCCGCCAATGTCGTACTCATCCGGCGTCGCAAAGTATCCCATGTGGTTGTTGGAGTACCCAGCAAGCTGTCGCAGCAGCAGCAGCAGCAGCAGCAGTGGTGGTGGTGACGCGTGGTTCAATCGAGAGCAAGCGGTATCACACACGTGCACAAATGCAGATGTTGCGGGTGCAAACACACGCAATGACACAAATGCACATACAATGACACAAGTGCACATACAATGATACAAGTGCACATACAATGACACAAGTGCACACACAATGATACAAGTGCACAACCGACACACACACATGCACACACACACATGCACACACAGAGGAGCACGCGCATGTCACCGCACCAGGACGCGGTCGAAGCCAAGGCCAACGCCGTCGATGCGGACTTCTGTTCCGAGCTCGGAAAGAGGTTCACCGGGCATCGTCACCATGAGCGTCTTTGAACCATCGACATCAAAGCGAATAGCAGTAAAGCGTGGCGCGTTCTCGATCCAGGAAGAGCCAAGGTGGAGGTTCAAGTCGCAGTGGATGACTTCGCAAAGCGTGCAGATGTCGAGAGGACCGCCGCTTGTGCAGTTTTCAAAACGCTGGAGCGTCACGTTTAGGTTGGTTGGGCCAAACGGAACAACCTCGCTCGCAATGCGGAAGGTGGCGTTGGCAGAGGGCTTGATCGCTTTGCGCGTCTGTGCGTGTAAGTGTGTGTGTGTGTGTAGTAGTGTGTGTGTGTGTGTGTGTGTGTGTGTGTGTGTGTGTGTGTGTGTGTGTGTGGGTGGGTGGGTGGGTGGGTGAGAGTGAGTGAGCGTGTGTGTGTGTGTGCATATGTGTGTGTGTGCGCGTGTGTGTCCTTGGTGAGACATCACAATCAGTTCGCTTCGCCAGCCATCTCGTTGTCCGATGTCTCGCAACACATTGCACACGGAGCACAACCCACAAGCAACCTTGATGATTGCGTTGGCGATGGTGGGCGCGCCGTTGTAGTTTGGTTTGCCCTGGCACGTCTGCGGCGCAGGGTCGATGTCGCCGGCGTCCGCGTTGATGAACATGGTCACACCAACTCCACCGTTCTTTCGTGTGTGCGTGTGTGTATGCGTGTGTGTGTGCATGTGTTCATGTGTTCATGTGTGTGTGTGTATGTGTGTGTATGTGTGTGTATGTGTGTGTGTGTGTGCGATGGGCAGCAGGGGTTGTTCGGGCGGAAGAAATTACACGGGCGGTTTGTCAACGCAGGCAGCATGGTGCAAACAGGTTGAATAGCAGATTGCATACGTGCCACCACAAGGTATTTGTTTCTCCTTACCTTGACGAGGAGGTTGTTGACACCGCCCATGATATCGGAGCTGACCTTCATGTTGTCGGGACCAAAGCAGGTGCCTGACAGCGGGAGATGGATGTGATTTATGTGCTTTCCAGTTGCGTGCAGACTCGCGTGCACAGGCATACAGCACACCATACGCACAACACAGCTCAGAGCACGAAACGCACAACACGTATACACACACACACACACACACACACACACACACACACACACACACACACACACACACACACGCACGTACACAGAGCACGCGCAACGCAATTCACAGCAAAAACATACCGTGGATGGCAAAGTTCCAGATGGTGGCGAGCGGGTTGCCCTTCAGGTCGTCAACACGGATAACACCGAGGTTGGGGTCGATGCTGAAAACACAGCCGCGCGGTAACATCGTCAGTGAGAGGAATGGGATTGAGCAAGAGCCACGTTACAAGCAGGCAGGAAGCTGCACATAATGGCGAAGGCAGGGCAGCGAAAATGCATCTGCGCACACAGCTAAACTCACAAACACATACGCATTTCCACACACACACTCGCACACACACACACACACAAACACACTCGCACACACACACACACACACACACCTGTCTGGCTGGAGGTATGGGCTGATCTTTGCGCGCCTGTTGACGGTGACGTTTGGGAGGAGGGAGATGTCCACGCCAAGCGACGCAGGCACCATCGCCTTCTCTGCCATGACAATGGCCTGTCCAATGGAGACGGCAAGCTGGAACTGCAGTTCGGGTACAAGGAGATCTGTAGCAGGCGCCATCGCCCACAGGAAGCTCGGTGATACGGCACCGGGACCGCTGAAAGCACGCATCAAAAGCCACATGACAACAACAGGTCGGGTTGTCAGTGAGAGTCAGCCAAAAGACCCGCACCCAAGACCTAAGGTTCCGTGCGCAGCTCGCCCGCACTGCACATGTTCAAGGCGTCCCTCGTCACGCTCAAAATGGCACCGCGTAACACGCAAGCACGAGGAATATCTCTCTCATTGTCTCTCTCTCTCTCTCTCTGTGTCTGTCTCTATCGTGACGCGCGTGTGGGGTGTGTTTGGTGTCAGTCGTGTTGCCCCTCTTCTCTTCTTCTTTGGTGCGTTTTACATGTTGGACTGACCTGTGCGAGTGCGAAGCGTGGAGGGTGACCGTCTCCAGGGTTGCGTTTGAGCCCATTCGCTGTGCTTCGACGACGGCAAGCTTGCGCAGGGTGCCGTCAGCGCCAATGGCGTCGGCGGTGACGATGAAGGCGCGGGTGTTGCCCTGGCGAAGGGCAAGGCAGCGCACGTTTGTGTCGTCCATCACGCCGACGCTTGGCGTCATGAAGGTGGTGTAAGCGGTGTTGTTTGGGATTGGCCAGTACGGCACGCGGCGATCGCCGTGATTGTACCCTGCAAGTGGGACGCCCAGTGGCAGTGTTGCGTTCACATGCGCCACGCCAGCGTACAGCGTGTTGTCATCATCCTTGACAGCCTGTGCCAGGGAGCACAAGGGTGCCGCGAGCAGCAGCACAGCCACAACAACAAGGCGAGGAGCCATGGCAGAGGAGGTGGTGTTGGTTTGTTTGGGTTGGTGTTGGAGAAAATCAGAAATATCTCGTTCCACTTTTCCACAACCGCAACAAGAGCAAACAAGCAAGCAAACAAGCAAGCAATACAACAGGCACCTGCTTCACAACACCCCTACTGCTGCTGCTTCTGGAGTTGCGCATCTGCTCGCGCATTCTTGCACCTCGGTTCTGAGGTTGCCTGCTTGCTGGACATGAACAGGGAAAGCGCGGGTTTGCTGTTAACGGGTGGTGGAGATGATGGTGGTACTGGCAGCGGCGGCATAAATGGCGGGAAAGCCCACGTTGTCGAAGATCCACACTACTACTACGCCCTTGCCAACCACGATCAACACCACCACCACGAATTCACAACCCAGTCGTTGGACCAACAACAGCACCACCAACAGCACCGCCAGCAAGATCAGTCCATTAGGAACGGGAGCGCAATGGCCTCAAGTCCGCTAATCCCCGCCATGCACTTTATTCCATTCCCCGTGAACGTTGGCTGGTTCGTGCACTTTGTCAAGGAGCACATCCACGAGAAGGACGAGGTGTGTGTATGTGTGTGTGTGTGTGTGTGTGTGTGTGTGGTGTGTGTGTGTGTGGGTGTGTGTTGTGTGTAGCGGACATGTGTGTGTGTGTGTGTGTACATGTGGCTGTGTGTATACGTGTCTGTGTATGCGTACAAGTCTGTGTATGCGTACATGCGTGTGTGCACGCGCGAATTTTTCCAGCCATGCCCAGACATGTAGCCGTCTCATGTTGAGAATCGTCTGTGGGACGTGCATTCCCACGCTCGCGCATTCCCACGCCCGCATATTCTTTCACTTTCCTTTCAAGCACTCACGCTGACATGCACGCGCTCGCATTCGTGCACACACACACATGCGGTCGTTGCCGCACGACCTAGAACTTGGAGACTGCACGCGCGGTGGCCATTGGCTTGGTCGCGGATGGGACGATCGCAGAGGTGGTGGCTGAGGATGTCGAGGAGATTTGCATGGAGGTGGAGGAACAGGCTGTTGCGAAGCGAGCAGAGCATGTGTTCGGGGCAATCGCCGATGAAGTCGTGTCAGAGACTGTCGGTGTGGAGGCAAATCGACTGGTCCGTGCGCGCAATTACGACGCGTCATCGTGGCGCGTGCATGACATGTTGCTGACGGAGGTGTGCGAGGAGCTGGTGACGGAAGCTGTGGCGTGGGCGCAGCAGTGTGCTCGGGAACGCGCAGTGGACAAGGTGGCGGATGAGCTGCTGTCGGACGTTGAGGACGAGTTTATCTTTGATGCATGCGCAGACGCATGGGACGACGCGCAGCCCAAGAACTCCTTTGAGATGCTCTCCCTTGCTCCTAACAGAACCCGCAAGAAGCCCCTGAGATGACACCACCTGTTTGTTTGTTTGTGTGTGTGTGTGTGTGTGTGTGTGTGTGTGTGTGTGTGTGTGTGTGTGTTG